GGCGGCGGACGGGCTGGCGGGCAGCGCGCTCTCGGCCTCTCCTCCGCGTCCCCGCATTGCCGTGTGCGCGCTCCTCCGGAGAGGACCTGGAGGAAGCAGGTGGGGCGGGGGCGCGGGCCTCCTGGGGCGCGAGCTGCGGAGTCCCCGTCCGGGAGGGGGCTGCCGTGGGGTCCTGGGCGGGGGTCGTGGAGGGGTGGGGACGGTTGGAAGAAGTGTCGCAGAGCCTCTGGGGGCCCCAGAAGCCCGGCGATTGCCTCCTTTGGGTGTCCGATGGCGCTGGCCACCGGGGAGGCCTCCCCGGGGCGGCGCGGCCCACCCGCCCGGGATGTGGGCTTCTGGCTTCCGTTGCTGTTGAGAAGGGCGTCGCTTGGTGTGCGGGACACGCAGGGACCCGGGCCGTAGCAAGGTTCTACAGCCACTGCGGTGACAGGCCGCGGACACCCGGAGTCCCCCGGGCGCGCGTCCCCGCGTGCGCCGGCCCTCGTAGTTTTTCAGACACCTGACTCCCACCGGGCCTGTACGTCGCTCAGAAACCCTTTGCCAGGGGTACTTAAAGCTAGATCTGATGCCTTCCCTTCCCCGAGATTGATTCCTTAATTCCAAAGCGCCCGCAGGAGACAGGGAAATGGAGAGAACTGATGAGCTTGAAACCTGCCGGGGACGGACGCGCCGTCAGCCTCCGTCCCGTGGATCAGATCTGCGGCCTTATCGCCTTCCTCTGAACTAGGTCCGAGGTGGTTCACTCCATCCAGAGACCGTATAGGCCGCGCCCGGGGTTTCAGCTCTGCTGAGACATTGTTGGGATGTGGACCAGGGGATGGGACCAGACGAACTTGGTCTCTGATCCGAGCTGGCGGTGCCTTTCACACGTTTCTTTGAGATACACTTCCTCCCAGGAGACCTGTGGGACTTCGTCTGTGCTTCGCTTTCGCTTTGACGGTCGTGAATCTCCTAAGTTGTCCTGACCACGGAAGCAAGCGCAGGGGCGATGAGATCTGGAGCAACTCTGAAGGGAAGGCAGTGGAGGAACCTGTACCAGTCTGGTTTTTGGCATTTATAGAATGCAAAGCCATCCTGCTTCTACCTTATTTTGCTAATAGGATGCTGTGTGTGTGTGTGTGTGTGTGTGTGTGTAATGCTTTCATTTGATATTGATGACCTCGGCTGCAAGATTGGATCTTGAAAAGTACAGTATGTTCGTGTAGCGCTTGTTTAGCATATGTTTGAATTTGCCAGATAAAGTCCCACTAGCAAGATCTTTCAAAGAAATGATCATTATATGGTGTCATTGCTTATTACAGCTCCAGTTTTGCAATATATACTTGTGATCTTGAGTTAATGGAATTACCTTTACTTTTTTTCCCCTGCTAAAACTTACTACAAGCATCTAGTTCCTTTCTGGTTTACTGTCCTCTTGTTAATTATTTATAATTACACTGCTGTGGGTTGGTCTAGTGCAGTAGCCTTTATTTCTTCCTTGTTCTGGGTGTCTCTGTATTGTTTCTTATCTGGACACTCAAATGGTTTTCCTTCAGCACCATTCAGTAGAACTTCTGTGAGGGAGGAAGTGTTCTGCACTGTGTAATATAATCACACCAGTCTGTCCAGATTGACCTTTGCAGAATTGGAACAGAGACAGAGCACTAGAAGAACGGATTTTTAAGTAGCCACACGTGTCTAGTGGCTGTGGTTAAACATCATCTATATGTATGTGTATATGTATGTATTTTTTTGTCAGCCATGGGGCTTGAACTCAGAGCCCGGGGGCTGTCCAATCAAGGCTAGTGCTCTACCATTTTGGGCCACAGCTCCACTTCCGATTTATTTATTTTTTGAGACAGTCTTGCTGTGTATACTAGGCTGGCCTCAAACTCAGGATCCTCCTGCCTCAGCCACCTGAGACTAAGGACTTAGTAAAAAGCACTTGAATATTTTCTTTCTTGTGCATTCTAGGCAAGTGCTCTATCACTTGAACTATTTGCCCACCCCCTCTGTGTACATATCTGTTGACTGCATAACTGATCTTCTTAAGAGCAGGTTGCATTACCTCAAGGGCCTAGGGCTAAATGTCCAATGCTGCTAATACCTGTTTATAGTGATTGAACAGATGTTTTGTAAGGAACAAGTAAAAGGCTCATTGGACTTATGCTCTAAGTGCTTATTTGGTTCGACTTGCTTTTGAATTGCATGTAAATGAAGACTCATGAAAATAAAGGCTCACATATTTGAATGATTTGAGTAGTGATTGAGCAGATGTTTGTAGGTACTAAATAAAAGTATCACTGGAGTTGTGCTTGCTTCTTTTCTTTTTTAAAATGTGTTTATTTGGTTAGTCTTGTTACAAGGATACTTTTGCTCAGAAACAAGCTTGGGTAGATAGAGTTTAGATGGATTTCCCATATAATTGGAAGTTTGGAGAATTTTGTTCCCGTTATTATAACTGTCAGGGGTGTCTTTACACAGCTAATTAGGGCTGACTTCTCATTGAAGGCTTTGTTGTATAATCAGTTTCCATCAATTAACCATAGGAAGATTTGGAATAAAAGTGTATATTTCACCCAGATCACATTATCTCTACAAATATTCAGTCAAGATTCCAGGTGCTCTGGGTTTTCACATTTATAAATTGCTTTTAGGGAAGGATCCTGACATCATATAAAAATTTATAGAAGTGTGTAGTTTTCTGTGGTGGGAGGAAAAAAATGGTAGATTTTTTTTCCCCTCAAGAAGGAAAAGATATAGGACCAGGAAAAAAATGCCACGAAGACACAAAATAGTGGTTCGCTATATTGGCTGTGTAATATTGTGGCTTCTCTGGGCTTTGAAGTAGCATGGAAGTCCATCTCATTGTGTGAATTATCTTTCTATTTTATATCTAGGATTTGAATATTGGAAGTATGTGTAAGATACTAGTATAGCTTCTGTTGTAGCTAATAGTGTAACATGTAGTTATAAAAATGTTTGAAATCACAGATATTTTGAGTTATAATTCAATCTCTAAAATTATGTTTCTTTAATTTTTATTGGCATAAGTTAATAGTATATACATGCATATAGTATACTTTGATCAAATTTGCCCTTTCTTACTATTTCTTATTCCTCTTTTCCTTTTAGTGGGTTACATTATGAAAGATTCACTTTTAATCTTTAAGGTTCTTAGTAATCTAAAAGGAAATGAAACTACTTTTGATAGCATATTAATTTTTTTTTTTGCTAGTTGCTGGTGGCTCATGCCTGTAATTATAGCTACTCAGGAGGCTGAGATCTGAGAATAGCAGTTTCAGGCCAGCTTAGACAGGAAAATATATGGGATTCTTATCTCCAAAACTAGTTGGAAGTGATACTGTGGCTCAGTGGTTGAGTGGTAGCTTTGAGAAAAAAAAGCTCAAGGACAGTACCCAAACCCTGAGATCAAGGCCAGGATACCCTCTAAACCCCCCCCCCCCCAGTGTTCAAATGCTCAAAGCTTGATTGTAGTCCTATGAATCTTCTTAAAACATTGCTATGAACATGCCACTCTCTTTTGAAACATTTTGTTCCCCAGTGCTCATGGAATCCAGTGGTTTGGCCTTTGATCAGGTATTTAATAACTCCTCAGGGCAGCTTAAAATAAAAGGTGATTCAGCCTTAACTTTTTGCTGCTTTTCCAACCGTACTCCATTTTCAGTCTGCTGTTCCTTTCTTTCATGAGCTTCCTTTTCAATTTCTTCCTCAGTCTCTTCCTTCTCAGTCTTGGATAGTCACCTCTTATAATACTTTCTACAGTGTCTCATTTTTTATTTTTTTATTTTTGGGTCTAGTTGTGGGGCTTGAACTCTGGGCCTGAGCGCTGTCCCTCAGCTCTTCAGCTCAAGGCTAGCACTCTACCACTTGAGCCACAGCGCCACTTCCGGCTTTTTATCTTTTTGCTTATGTGGTGCTGAGGAATCGAACCCAGGGCCTCATGCATGCAAGGCAAGCACTCTACCACTGAGCCACCCTCCCAGCCCTACAGTGTCTCATTTCTGACTCTTGGAAGATCCCATAGCAAAGTCTCCTGGTCCTTGTATGATGGAATACAACCCATCCTGTGCCATAATTCCATACCTATCAGTGATGTTTTATTATTTCTAGTAGATTATAAACTATCTACTACACATGGGCTGTCACTTATTTTTGAAATCTTTATAATATCCACAAAGTGATCTCTATGTGGTTCTAACTCCCTCCATCCCTCCCCCCTCCCTCCTTCCCTATGCGCGTGCACGTGCGTGTGTGTTTGTGTGTGTGTGTGTGTGTGTGTGTGTGTACTGGGGTCTGTTGCTCTTGCCTTTTGTTCAAGGCCAGCACTCTATCATTTGATCCACAATTCCATTTCTGATTTTTTGCTGGTTAATTGGAAGTAAGAGTCTTTTCCTCTCAGGCTGGCTTTGAACTTCAATCCTCAGATCTCAGCCTCCTGAGTAGCTAGTATTACAGGGATGAGCCATTGGCACCCAGCTTTTAGCTTTGTTTCTTGCTTCTAAAGGAAGCCTGTACTCTCTGTAGACCAATTGCTCAAATTTGCTGCTAAGCAAGCAGGGCCCAGCAAGTAGAAATCCCACATTAGGGGGAAGCTGTCACAAGAATCATGGGAAAGTTGTCCCTGTGGTGTACCTTACTGGTGGGAACTGACAGCATTTCAAGAAGATACCACTGCTGTCTTACAGCAGATCCTTCCTGTTTGCCTGTTTATGTGGCAAGGTTAATGTCAGAATGATGGGTATTGAGTGACAAGTAATTTTAGCCTCCAAGAAAAATTGAATACCTTAAAATAGTAACAACTGGGCAACGTTTAGTATGACCCCTATCTGTGTGAATGCTTTTTGTACTCCTTGAGAAAAAAAAAGAAAACACCATACTTATTTGTCAGTTTCTATTAGTATTGAGTAAAACATGAATGAAGAAGAAACCAGTGAGCTCAGATGATGGTGGAATGGTAAAGATGACGTCGCTAGTATTGGAGTTAGTTAGCCAAGTATAACAGGACACATCTTAAGTTCTATCATGGTGTAGCTGCCTATTACATTAAACTACCAGTTAACTTAAAAAAATCAGTCTATCCTTTGCATTGACAATCTAAATTCATGTGGTTTTGTAATAAAATTACCCATGTTTACCTAAAAATAGACATAAGGATTCCTAATATTTCAAACTTGAAAGATCTGATGTCATAGAACCTATAGTGTTTCATTTCATAGTTTTAGTTTACTTAGCATTTCTCTGCTTTCTGTATTTCTGAGGTGTAGGCTAGGTTTCTGCTTACATTTACTTTAAATTTATTCTAAGCCCTTCTTGTCTTCTGGGGGAAAAAAGAGGTAATAGAAGTGCTAAGATTTCTCTATCTTTGACTAAGATCGAGAACACAGCCCCTGGTACACTGCTGAGTGTGGCAGTCTCAGTAACTAGCTCTTATACTTGTGACAGTGGCGTGATTCACTTAGTGAAGTTTTCTAGTATATTAGACATAATGGGAACACTCCAAAGTAGATTACTTTCATGCAAGGAGCATGTGGTATGAGCTTCTGCACTGAAAAGAGTGTCAGCATCATGAGAGGAAGATCCAACCACAGGGACATGTGCTTTTCTTTGTGGATGCCACAAAGAAAGATTAGGTTAGCATTTTACACATCTCCACCTATGATCAGGCAATAAATGATCACAGCCCCTATAGTTTATTACTCTAAACTTTGTCTAGAGAGGATCTATATGCTGTTGACTATAGAAGAAGTACAGTATATGTACGTGTCCATGTATACATACATTTGTCATATATATACTATGTATATTATATGTATATATACATATATATATATATATATATATATATATGTATGTGGTACTGGGGATCTTACACTTGCTAGGTGGGTGCTCTGCCACTACAGCCGTACCTGTGGCCCCTTTGTGTGTTGGTTATTTTCAAGATAAGGTCTCACTCTATGCCCAGGTTGGTCTGGACTGCTGTCTATTTACTTGTGCTTTCTTGTTGCTAGGGATAACAGGCACATGCCACTGTGCCCAGCCATTGTACTTTCCCTGTAGCTGTGACAACAGGTGTGCCCTACCACACCCAGCCATTGCTTGAGATGGAATCTCACAAATTTTTATGCCCAGTTCACCTTGAACTAAGATCCCCTTGATCACCTCAAGTGCCTGGGATTGCATGTTTGAAACACAGAACTCAGTTAAATAGTATATGTTTTTGTGCCACTTCTGGTTATTGAACTCATGGCCTGGGTGCTGATCCTGAGCTTCTTTTACTCAAGGCTCATGCTCTACCATTTGAGCCACAGCTCTATTTCTGGCTGTTTTAGAGTAGTTTATTAGAAATAAGAGTCTCATGATTTTCTTGCCAGGGATGGCTTCAAATTGTAATCCTTAGATCTCTGCCTCCTGTGTAGCTAGGATTACACATGTGATCCATTGGTGCCTGGCCATTTACATGCTACATATATATTTTTTATTGTAAAAATACTGTACAGAGGGGTTACAGTTACATGAGTAAGGTAATGAGTACATTTCCTATTGAGCATTGTTGCCTCTTCCTTTGTTTTTCCCTTACCATCCCTTCATTCCCCACCTCCCCATCTACTCCCCCTCACACACACCAAAGTTGTAAAGTTCGTTTTCAACATAGTGTCTTGTACATCTCATTGTTACAATGGGTCAACCTGTGTCCCTATTTAAGCATTTTGTTTTTTCCCTTCCTTTCCCCAAATTAGAAAAATGTATATACAAGATGCAGGGTACCAGAATCAAATACTGTGAAAACAGGTTATACCATGGGGGAGGAACATAACCAAGAAACAAAAATATCACATGGTAGATTATAAATATGTTAAAAACAATAGCAAGAAAGAAAAAAACCATTTGTGTTCCTATCTTGGGGTTCATTTTTCTTGGGGTTCATCTTATATGGTCATATGTACTTAGCTTTTGACCTTCTCTGCTTGTCCTAAACTTATACTAGTTGTTGCAAATAAGGGAAGCCATGGGACCTATGTTTCTTTGGGCCTGGCTTACTTCACTTAATATAATTTTTTTCAAGCCTTTCCATTCCTAACAAATGGGCGATATCATTCTTTCTGGTGGAGGCATAGAATTCCATTGTATATATGTACCACATTTTCTTGATCCTTTCATCTACTGAGGGGCATCTGGATTGGTTCCATATCTTAGCTATGGTAAATAATGCTGTTATAAACATAGTTGTCACCATGTATATTTTTAAACAGTGGTTTTCTCAGAAGAATTTATTTTTCCTATCATAAGAGATTCTTTTTTTTTTTTTTTTGGTTGGTCGTGGGGCTTGAACTCAGCCTGCACATTGTTCCTGCGCTCTTCAGCTCAAGGCAAGTGCTTTACTGCTTGAGCCATAGTGCCACTTCTGGTTTTCCAGTGGTTTATTGGAGATGAGTCTCATGGGACTTTCATGCCCGGGCTGGCTTTGAATTGTGATCCTCACATCTCAGCCTCCTGAGTAGCTAGGATTACAGGTGTAAGCCACCGGTGCCTGGCTCATAAGAGATTCTTGAAGATTAGAATTGGAAATGCTAGTAGGTTAGACATTAGAAGAACTTCAGGAATTTTGAGATTGAAGGCAATCATTCTAAGTTGCATAGGAATGCTTTTCTTTTTCTCATTTTAGGTGGTTTTCTAGAAGATGACCATAGAGGACCTTCCAGATTTTCCATTAGAAGGAAATAATTTGGTTGGAAGATATCCATTTTTATTCCCAGGTTCTGAAACACCAGTTATCTTTTCCATTTCTGCAGCACCAATGCCTTCAGACTGCGGTAGGTCAAGTCTCTGTGCTTGTTTGCTGTGAGTGGGAACTTGACTTCTGTCTTATGCCCTCTGTGCATTCACAGCTTTTTCTGAAACCATTTGCTATGTTTTCTTAAAATAAAATCGCTCAACTTCTCCTTTTTGAAAAATACAATTGCTTATTAAAATTTCTGCCTCTTAAGCTAAATGCTTTATTTTTTACAGTCATCATTTTTATTATGTAAAATGTTAATTTTAAGCATTCTGATGGATTTAGAAGGTTTTATTTTTGGAATGTAATGGTGCTTAGATATGTAGCATTCTTCTGCTATTGATGTATTTATTTTTGTTAAATCTACTGACTTGCTAAAACAGCCATGTTCTTAGAGACAGGAGGAGTCATTCCCTGGAATGTGAAATTAGATTTTTTCCCATTTAAATTACTCCATTTAATTATCAAATTTAGCAGTATTCTAGTTTTTGTCTATGTTACCTTATTTCCCCAGAACTCTATTCTATCAGAGAGTTGATGAACACAAAGAAACCCAGAGAGCAAATCAGATAGAATGGTTACATTTTAATTTATTTAGCATTTTCTAGGCAAAATGTTGGGTCATCATTTCAGATTTTATTTGCAGGTGTAGGGATAATGCAGTTTAAAAATATTAATAGTTATTAGAGTAGGGATTCATCTTTTAAAAAACATATCAATTTGAGTAATTCTTCATATCCAAATGTCCAATTGTATTTCAATTCTATAGTTTCCTGATAGCCATCATGTAAAGTTATTACTTAGAATCTGCAGCATTTACAAAGTTGACTGGGTTTATTTTCAGATGAAACAAAATCAGTTATGAGGAATAACCTTGAACTAAAACACACTGTAGCTTGCTTATGAACTTATCTTCTCTTAAATTTGTTTTCTTATTTCCTTTCTTAGATTTTGATTTTGATTAGCAGTCATTTTTTTTTAGTTTTGTTTATCTCACCAAGGCTATGGTGGTCACTTATTAAGATTAGTTGTTCACTATTTGCTGAATAAAGACACAATGAAAGGTGATAATGGATATTATACCCTTTTGTATAACTGAAGTTCCACACTTTCTGTATCCTTGGAGTGACAGATTCTTGGCATCTGTATGACTCTATAGTTCAACTTTCCCTGCTTATCTCCAGTATAAATTCCATCTGCAGAATCTCTGACACCTAGCCATGCAGCCTCATATCGTCAATAGAGGAGAACTAGTAAAAAAAATCATTTTCATTATTAAAAAGCTTTAGTCATCATAACATTTTTATATATTGAATCCAAATATGTCTCCTTGAAACTTTGACCTGCTGGTACTGGTCTGAGACTGGAATAAACACCACTTCACGTGATAACCTTCTACTGTGTGAAGACAATTAGAGCACTTTTCATGGTCTATACTTCCTGTGTCTATGGGTATCTAGTTCCCACTTACATCTAAAATGAGCAAATGGGCTATATTTGGGTTCAGGTTTTACCTTTCCAAACAAATCTGCATTTTTTTCCTAAAAAATAAATATTTAAGGATATTTGCATAAATGGAATATGAGATCGTAGTGCTAACATGTACTCTCCCTGATTTAGCTTGTAAATAATATAAGACCATGAGCTTGTCGCATAGAAATCTGGCTAAGAAGGTTCTAGGTTCTTGCAATAAATTGTGGAGACCTTTTCCAAAGCGGCTCAAGTGCAGTATTACAGTGTGGTTGTCTTTGCCAGTAAATTAAGTCTCAGGGGCTAATGTGTAGGACATAGTATCTACTTTTGGAATCAGGTCATAGAAAGCATCTAGGCCTGGTGGAAATCCACCTTTAAATATTTGCATTAGTGTGTTAGAATACAAGCACTTATCAGGTCTACTTAGGACAAGACTAGCAGAATGTAGAATTCCAGGAACCAATGTAGTATAAAAACTTTTACCCAAGTTAACTTTGTATCATGTGATCAGTCAGGTTTTCATCAGGCATTTCTGTAGAAACTAAGTAAAAATAAAGGCCTGTAGTTGAAGCAAATCATGAACTTGTTTTTCAAGGCCCGAAGGCAGCCCATCAAGATCATTTCTAGAGGTGAGCTTGAAACAGTTTTAGATGGCAAAAATAAGGATAGTAGTTCCAATCTGATGGATTTCCCTGACTTCCAATTTGTGTAACACTAGGTAGCAAGGCTAGCTCTGTATGAGTTGTTGTAGTGACTTCTCTGAAACTTAAATCAAGTTGTCAGCTTCAGCTTGGAGGGGTTGGGAAAAGGGCAGTTTTAGGAAATGGAAATGTGAATTGTGAACGTCCTAACAAGATCTGGAAGACTGGAATGAATTCTGGAGGGATGCAGCGGGG